TCAAACACGCTAGGGAGGCACCATAAGACATTTCGTCAAAAACCAACTGGCGGACTTCAGAATTGCTCACCCAGTGTTCCCACCAAACGTGAGAATTACTTCGCAAGCACCGATGGTCAAACACGGCCAAGAGTTTATTGTCGTCATTGCGAACTGGCAATGTCTGCGATCCATATATTAACACCTTATCTTTCACTGACAAGCTGGTATACCGCCGTCTCCATAGATGGTTGAGCCTCTGGAAAGCCACACGAGCCTTGCAGATACGCGAAGTAACCACTTCAGTAATGTGACCACCAGAGGTGACACAGCTACCAAGGTAAGTGAACCGATCCACCACTTTCAGTGGCTGCTCGGAAATAGCTAAAACCGGTGTGTCGGCCCAGTCCTGTAAAAGCACTTTGCACTTTGAAGATGCAAAGTACGTTCCGGAGCGTGCAGCGCTACGCACAGGTCTGTGCAGTAGTGTTTGCATAACCAATGCATCAGACCCAAGGAGAACTATGTTGTCCGCATACTCCGGGTTTGTCAGTCGGTCGTCTGCCAGCACTGTCACTCCAGCATAGTCTGAAAGAACCGAGTCATTCATGATCATTTCGATCACAAAGTTGAAGAGGAAAGGATATGTAAGACAACTCTGCTGAACTCCACTTGTCGTGGGGAACTCAGGGAAGAGTCTCCTGTAGACCCTTACACGGCCTCGGGAATCACGGTAGAGGGATTTCAGAATGGAAACTTTAGCTAGTATACCCTTCATGGATAGGCAGTGCTACAAGCCGGAGCGGTCAATAGAGTCGAAGGGGGGTTTTAAATGAAAAGACCACCGCAGTCTGCAATGATTCGGAATACCTGTAGCTCGGGTTGGCAGTTAACGTTTTGATTCGTTCTCCGAGCTGAGTAATTTAATGACAAACGTTTCACCACTTCCCTCAGTGGCATCTTCAGTGCATTGCTCCGTAGAGGAAAATCTCATGCATTTTCATATTGTTGAACCGCAGATTGCGAGTTCAAGTTACAAGTAAGAAGGTTAGGGGATAGGCGCTCCTTTGAAGTGGAAAGAATGAGCGCCAAGCGTGTGCGCACTAGAGCATAGTCGAAATCTAGGCATTTTATCCAAATTGACCGACAGACTTGGATTGATGTGCGCCACCTGTGGCTGATGGCAACATGGTCTATTTGGGTCCAGATCAATGAGGAATTCGGAGGGCGCCGGGTAACGCGTTGTGAACGTTTATGTTGGAAAGCGCTGCTGCTAATATAAAGATTGTGGTCAGCGCACATTTTCAGGAATCGACCACCATTGTCTGTTCAGCATGCGTCGACCCTGGAGTGCCCTCCCAGGTGTTGTTCAGAGTCCGAAAGACGGCCCACTCGGTCACTTAAGTCACTGGCAACAATCACGATGCCATTATTCTTCAATATATGGAGAAGAGATGAAAGATGTTAATATAAATCATCTCTGGTACCTTCCAAACTGCAGTCAGTAGGAGCGTAAACGTTGGCGATGGAAATGCACCTTGCCTTCATACGGTGCTGAATAACCCCAATGGAGGTACGAAGTCGAACTGCACACATGCGGCTGTTCACCGATATCCAGTCGAGTGGGCTACCTTCAGCATGTCTGTTGAGGGCGATAAAAACACCGTAAATACGTTGAGCAATTGACTCGGTATCACCAGATTTGTCACAACGCTGTTATCTTGTAAGCGTGTTTCGGAGACAACACACATCAATAAAAAGAGAGTGAAATCAGAATCAGTGCCGCCTGTTGACCGATCTGACCCAAAGAGCGGACGTTAAAAGAACCAATGTGAAATGAGATTCGTGCTTTGATGGACGAGTTACGAGTAACGATGGCAAAAGCAGCGAGGTCAGCGGCAGATTCTTACTCAATAGTTGGGGAAGAAGAGGGAGAGAAAAATCAGAAGAGGAAGAGGGATAAATGTCGACGCGGTCGAGATGATACTCTCCGGTTGCCCATTCCGAGAGGGGTTTTGTTCGAGGTGACCTACTTCTAGCCTATGACTCAACAGTCTGACCCAGAAGGTAGTGGGGATTTGGAGGTTCGCTTGAGAGACTTTGGCGCAATAGCCTGACCCACAAGACAGTGGGGAGCAAATCCAGCTAGGGAGTGTGATTTCAGAGACCCATTAGGATCTGCTTGAGGTCAGTTCCAGACAGACTTTGAAGATTTGGAAGAATGCACACGTATTTTAGGACCGTAATACGTAACGCACCTGCCACCACGGCCAGCAGCGGGTGAGAGTTAGCGGGTTTGCACCAATTTGACCAGGGGCTGTTTGGTTTATGGCGGGCGGTAGAAAACCATTGAGCACCGGAAGGTACCTTCCCACCGTCAGAAATGATGCGTGGCGCTCATGCTCTACGGCAACCGAGCTGTGAGGTTATAACCCGTAAACCTGTTTTCTCCCATGGCTAGGTATTAAATGAAGAGGGCCATCGACCTATCCCTAATCTGCGAAGAGGAATGGATCGTGAGAATGAGTTAGTCTGACGCCTAATCATCGAGCTGTCTGGTATGAATGACTCTGAAGGCAGTTGGAAAGTGCCACGCAACGTGGCTCAATGGGTCACGGGGTACGCAAGCCATTGCACCACGCTAACGTCCAGTCTCGTTGCGATGGGCTCTGCACAGTTGCAACAGACGCTCGCCTTTGTCCATTTTTTCGGAATAAAGCCCATAAATATCACATAACTGAGTTCTGAAGGGTTCAGAAGCCATACTTGTGCGTTCATATCCCCTGTAAGTACTATGGTATCTGAACTAGTAACATTGCGTAGTAGCGCGTTCAGCATCAGAACTGCAGTCGATGCGGGCAAAAGCGGAAACAGCAAACAAACAGTGTGAACCAACATTAGTTGATGCCGTCAAACGGGCTGCATGCAAGCGGCTGCTCACGGGAATCCAATCAACCAACGAGGACTCAGCATCGGAGCTGAGAATTGCCCACTCCAGCTTGAACAGTGAATGACCCATCAGTGTCTCCGGATGCGTGCAACCGATAACGAAAGGACTAGCTGGGCGCAGTTACTTCAACAACCCCAGTTTGGTCATTGATCCTAGTTTCGGACACGCAACACACGTCAATATCCAGTGTGTCCAACGTGCGCGCGAGTGCCGCCTATTGACCTACTTACCTTACAGTGCGAACCTTGAACGCCGCAGGAGAAACGGGACAGCGTAGCCCTATAAGGGATTGCTGCCCTTGGGCGTCCGGTGGGTGTTGCGGGAAGGTGGCTGCAGATCGTTCAACAACAGCGGCACCTCGGTTGCTGTCAATTAAGCTGGGAACTATAGAAGGTAGGCTAATAATGGGGATCGGGATGGGAGTAAGAGAAACAGGTGGAAAAGAAAGTAGGCAGTCGCCAGCAGTAGTATGTTTTTGCTTATCCGCCCTGCTGTATGCAGCAGATAAGGCGACCCTTGGGAATCTGCGCGACAGCCGATGCAGGATGTGGTTGAAGATTGAAGAAGTAGTCTTGGTTGTACTTGGGTTGAGATACTGCTGGGGCGCCCAGACCTAGACAGGAGGACGGTTAGGGTTCTCAGCAAAAAGTCTTTGGCCCAAAAGCCTATCCGAAAGCCAGCGGGAGGTTGCAATGACTTGATTTCAACTGAAATGGACGCCATCCTATTTGCAACCCCAACCTGGAGGACCAGGAGTGAGTTTGTTTGACCTCTAACCATTGATCAACCTGGGAGGAGTAGCTCTTAAGGGGCCAGGTTGTATCAACCAGTAAAGCTCAATGGGTCGACGAGGTATGCGAACTGTCGCACCAAGTTAAGGTCTAGTCTCGTTGCGACATCATCTGGGTATCTATCATCGGACCAGCAGTTGCTCAGTCAGGTTGCGAAACCTTCTGAACTGTTTCAATGTTTGATCCAAAGCCCGTGTTCTGTTTTTTTTAACGCATCAAAGTGTCAGGATACTCTTTGTTTCACTACAGAAGAGCCAGGTACTAGCAGCATGTCAAGCAGTGCTTCAAGCTCCATACTGACCGCGACCGATTACACTTTCTACATCAGTGAAGTACCTAGTTGTGGCACTGAAGTACGAGTTAGATTTGTCGCTTCATGCATAGGAAACATTAACAAGTCACACGGTTCTCATTCTGCGCCTCTCGGCTGCGATGTGAAGCGTCCAGGGCAAGATTCAGGTGATTCTGTGGGGTTAGTTACATAGAACAGGTGTCATAAAATAGTATCCGGAGGATTCTGTGGTGCATGTAAACAGTGAACAATAGGAGGCTTGTTGTACTTTATATTATCGGTTTCAGGTAGATGGGTCAATTCAGGATTGGGAACTGATCCGTGAGGCAACTTTGATCGGAGTATTTTTATCAAACATTGCACGCGTACCCCTTGGTCGTGATAGTCACCGGAACTGGTTGGAGCAACCATCAAAGACAACGCACCACTTTATACAGCTTGTATTAGTAAATGCCGATTATGATACGAAACGTTTGAATTCGATGCGAATTCCTTATATCCCCATTTGCGCTACGTTGAATAAAGAAATTGATGGAAAAAATAAAGTCGGACACATGAAGCATATGGAAAGGAACTTGGAATTGATTTGGAATTGATTTTCGGGCTGGGCTGCAGTTTAAAATCAGTAACTATAGTGGATGCCCTACCAGATTGTGCATGGTAGATGTCAAATTTAAAGCGTGCTGTCGATGATTTTATACGGTGCATCGGAACCTAATTGACATTTGATACCTGGTCAAGTGACTTCAAACGCAGAATATTCATTCAGCAGTTTGATCGGACTCATAAAGTGCACCATGAATAGATCGCACAACAACGGCACGATAAGTGATGTGTCCCTGTTTGTATAGCCATGTACTAACGTAGGGTTAGATGGTGCATATTTAGACGGTATAGGCAGAGAGAGAACAAACACACTGTATAGATTAAGTTTTGGTGTGATAACAAAAATCTGACACTGGTCTTTCGTTGCTCCAGCCGTACTTACGCAGCATGTGAGCATATCCACTGATCCACAATGGCCACACCACCGGGGCCCAACTGACCCCACTGGGATTCCGTGGGAATGAATTGAACCACGCGAAAAGACGGACCCAGTGAATGCTTCAATGCGGATACCTCTGAATGAGGAAAGAATGAGAGGAAAAGCAAAATCAAACCAAGTCAATCTAAGCAAAAATTAGCTTTATGCGCATACATGAGAGCTTTTTCAGCACTTTGCGATAGCGTTGCTGTTTTAGAGCATAGCGCCTGTGAAAAAATTCAAATTGACAACGGTAAGAAAAAAAATAGTGCGACTTCAAACCGAGGTGACAAATATGACCGCATTACGAGACATGGTAACTTAAAACTAAATTTCGACCGCGTTGAGAAAAGATGTACTGTACCGGCAAGAACAGCATACAGCAGGTGAGAGATCGTTCAGGAGTCAGAGTGAAGAGCTGATACACACATCAAAGTGTCTGTAAACCACACGATCAGAAAAGCACTCATCTTAATCCAAATCATCGGGAGAAACGTTTTCTGAGAGCACAAATTTGGAAAGCAGTAGGTGACCGATATAATCCAGGGGAGGGAGAATACTTATGTTACAAGTCTAAGATCCATAACAAGGAGTATTGGAAAGTAATCTGAGCTCTAGAGCGTTAAATAATAGTTTTCTGACCGATTGAAAAGTTTTCTGAATACGTATAAACTGGGATAAATTATGAGATAATAAAACATCGAGATACTTCAATATAGATAAACGAGGCACGTTTTGTGCAGGTGCTAACTAGAGGCCAAACACTGGTAAAACGGAAAGAAGAGAGTAACACACAATGGATCAAGATGAGTGATTGAGAGCTCAATCAAGTCATGAGTTCATCTAATGCTTGCTGCAGCCTCGAAGATTTATCAATGGCTAGGGCTACACGTACAACATCTTCGCCATACATCCGATAGAACTGGATGGTATAGGATGGTTTTCGACGTATATGGAAAATAATGAGGAGCACAAGATAGTCACTTTCAAAACATCACAGTTGGCTGGAAGTAAAGGAAGATCATCCTTCACATAGGTGCGCGAAGTGCGTACGATTTGTAGAATGGTCATGCAATGTTACACACATATGGGAGGACGCCATTTCTGAATAAAATGTTGTACAGTAACGATTTGTCGAGATAGCTAGAGGCATTGGTATAATCGAGGAAAAGGAGCTGTACGGTTTTGGATTTCTTATCCAGTGCAGATGCAATGCATATGATTAGAAACTGCATCCAGCGCGGAGCGTCCGGACCTACAGTAAAACTTATCGCAGTCACTGGCCTTAGTATCAAAACACTGTGGGGATGAAAGGGATTCCTTGAACACTTCCAATGGCATGGGAGTGCATGAAATCGGATGTTAATTCAGCGACTCATTCTTAGGCATGAGTGTTATTCTGGTTGCTTTCCGTGCGTCTGGAATGGTAGCACACTCTAAGCATCCGTTTGAAATCACCGTCAGAGGTCACTAAAGTATCAGCACGTTCTTTCAGAACGACTGGTGTTATAGTGTCCAAGCCACTAGCCCTGTTAGACTTCAATCTAGCGGGTTTTCTGTAGACCCTAGTATGGTTAAATAAATATGAGGACCTGTAACGGCGAAGAGGGAAGTGGCAGCCGGCGTGGAGTTGAACTCTGTGTTGGGTTTGCCCACATAAGCAGTACCGAAAGGACTGTATGAAAGATTGCGAGAGAGTTGCTTAAAGAACCTCCAGAGATCACTGCACCTGTGGTTGCCTTGAACAGCCTCAGCGTAAACATGGCTTGGTCTCCATAAATCCGCTTTTTAGGCACAGACATGCGTCCGACATTAGTGTCACGTGCCTACACGAGTACCGTCCGCTTAGGACAATTGTGCACGGATTGGTTGTTTTCCTACAGTAGCTAGACCACTCACTTATTCCAATCCAGGAAGTTACAACGCAGGTCCCGTGAGCCATGGACCATGAATCAACTGACTGATGAAATTCGTGCTGTCCGGACTTGTTCTGCTGGCCGGATTAAGGTTCAGGAAACTTCCCATTACTGCGTTTTAATTAGCAGTTAGTTTACAATGATAAACGTGTTTTCTTCTCCTTCTCAGTTGATGGGTAGTGGTGATGAAAATTTATCAATCAGCAAAGAGATGATCACATCAGAATAAAGTAAACCTAAGCAGAAATCGGTGTTATGTGAGGTGCAGGCGTAGAGTTAGGGAGACTTTGCGTATGAAAAATAAAAAAGCAGAATGCAACGTCGATTGAGGCTTTATGATATTCTTTTGCTGAAATATTCCGCCTCCTAACAGTTCTGAATTTTTGCGTCAGTGCGACGCAGATGGCTTTATTATAGGTCTTGAAGCGTGTTTTGGCAATGTAGTGGTCAGTTATCGAGACGAATACATTTTCGGATGGAAGGCACGTCAGGTTTGTTAGGAAAAAGCCGAATTCAGATGCGTATCAAGTACGGCGGAAAATTCTACCAAATCGGAGTAACTCACTGTGTTAATTGGGACTGTGTTGCTACAATCGATATCAACGGCGAGAAAAAAGTAGAGCATTCTGACTTAGGTTGTAGCTCCGAAGTGATCAGGAAACTATCAAAGCTGATTGTTGCGTTGCGTTCCACCTTAATGACTATGTATTATAGGCAGTAATTCTAAAACTGGTTTACATTCAGTCGGATGGTGGCCTTTTGAAATCGAGGAGTAAGTAGACGGCCCTGAAACCGATTTCAAAACCTATTTTAAATGTAGATGATGGCATTTTTCCGAAGTTGGGGCTTTACTGTGTGATCAAACCTAGTATGGTGATAACCATCGAGCATAATGGCTCCGCCTGCAATGTCAGGATGTGAACACCACTACATCTGTCAGAGGGAAACAGTCGATGGTCATCACTACATTTGAACTTATAAACTATTCGCTGAAACGGGTTTGCAAGATCAACAATTGACCGAGAAGTGATCGCACAACATCAGAGTAACATGTGTCCCGTTGGTAAAACAGGGCCGAAGTTTAACGTACCAACCAACACGGTGCATTTGCCTTCTCCATGTTTTATTGACAATCCTGTTGAGAGTGTAGTTTGTTTAAGTGACGGTATTCAAGGAGGACAACTGTACACAGCGTCTCGAATACCAGTTAAACGATCAACAGAGTAAGACAACGTTGATGGCATAAAGATTTATTCAGCCAAAGGATGAAACAGTTTGTGCGCAGCGTAGAAGGAGATTCCAATGACAACGAGAACTACGGAACTAGAAGGAAACGCCACATCGATCGGCCTGTGAATTTTTCAACATTTGACGTCGGAGAAAACGGAGCTGCATTCAGCATAGTATACTGGATGTTTAATTAGTTCTCGCCTATAATAGATACTCAGTGCACACAAGGGGAGGCATTGTACATCAGAGCTCAGACAAGCATGCTTTATAGAACCACCCCATGGAAGAAGTGTAATGAGTCACGAACCTATGGTTAGAGTCATGCTGGAGAGACGCAGATTCACGGGTGTTTAAGTCTACTGGATCCTGTGGTTTATTCGGAAAGCTAACTGATATGCAAACAGAGGAACAGATGATGATATTTTTGAAAAATAAAGACTGCAAGAGCAAAAGGTAGTCAAGTATCACGTCTTATGGAGATTCATAAGCGGAGCTCATCCACTGGCTCCATCAGAATCCGAACCCATGAACATTAGTGGCTCGCACCGCTAGCCAACAGCTTAAGACACTAAGTCACGAGACACAACAGGCACCGTCAGGATTTACTGGCTAACGACGATGTAGCGCAACCCATTCTGATGGAACCGATTAGTGGGGAATACAACGTGAATCGAGGGAACGAAACGGCCATCTGGTGCTTTGTCGAGCATTTGGATGACTATCTGATTTGGAAGCTGATGCGACGGAACCTACAGAGTCAGTTGACTAAACGGCATATAGAGAGAATATTGCCAGTTTATTATAAAATTTGAGTTTATCGAAACTCTATTATGCGACAAGATCTTGTAAGTTATTTCCCTTGAGTATTTTAAATAACGCAGTGAGAAGACGAAAGCTGGTAGATGTTAACATTTCGTATTGTCTCGTCAGTGCCAATACCATAACAGGAAAATATATAGAACTACAGCTAGGGTGTGACCGGATATGATAGAGACAGGGTGGTTTTAAACTTACGAACAGCTGTTTCTGCACACAGAGTGCCGGTTTGATTCGACTGATCGCAAAAGCCTCGGTGAAACATAGGAAGCGGGTGTTAGCATGTCTCGACAAGATAGTGAACTTCGTGGTAGGGTCGAATGGATGACAAATGACTAATAAGTGTCTACCAACAGAAGAGGCAGGTGGCTTTCGTGAACGAGCGGTAGAGGAAGCGGCAGACTGGGTAATTTCACACTGCACCCACTTAGGCATATGTTCCCTCACTCTGGAATTCAATATTATCTCGGTACGGCCGATGTAGCATGACCCGAAGCTACAGGTGAATTGGTAAATGCAGTGTGAATTGGCGCCGACAGGTTGTCTTTCCATCGTTGAGGAAACAGGCATTTTTCTGGTTCGGTTAATAAGGACAACTTGGGCAGCATAATAAGTCATATGAACAGCGGAAATTATGTGCATGGCTGTCCTTATGGTGACCAAATCATCTCTAAACGGTATTTCTATAAGTTCTCCTCCTCCTCATCATCATCATACACGTTAGCTAGAGGTGGGGAACACCTCAGCTAATGTGCCGCAATACATAGAAAAAAGGGGGGAAAAAGCAACTGGTGCAAGCCGGCTGAGCTACCGGTAACGGATGGGCATCGTTCCGGTAAGCTACCAGCCGGCTGCTGTGCACTAAAAAAAGTTACTATGCAAAATTATATAAGGCTAAATAATGAGATCATGGTTGGAGGGGGGAGACTAAGAGGGATGGGGTGGGACAAAGAAACTCACAGCACGAACGCCAATGAGGTCGGCTCCATGCCATGTCAGCAAGTGTGTCCAACCAAACGTGTTCATCGTCTTTCGGACTCCAACCAGGGAGCCGAGACGCTCCAACCGAGGCCAGCTTCGAAGATAGGGCCTTCATTCCTCTCGACCAAGTCATCGCTTGGCCACCCCTCCTCTT